TAAAAATTTTTAAATTAAGAGAAAAAATGATATTTTTATATTAAAAGTATCAAAATATTTAATAATAATTATATGATGAATTTAATAAAATTAAAATTTATATCATATTTTATATTTTATGTAATTATTATTAGATATTTTAATATTTTTAATAATAAAATATCTTAATTTTTTTCTCTTAAATTAATGAATACTATCCTAAGCAGTGTTTTGAAATCCGGATCGGACCGGTCGGTCGAACCGGTGAAACCGCCACCCGGTCATGAAAACGGACCGAATGCATATCCAAAACCGGTGAGGCGATCCAACCGCCCAAACCCGCCAGACCCGCCAGACCCGGTAAACCCGGAAAACCCGATAAACCCGGCGAAACTAAAATATGCCATTTTCAATTTTTTCAACCATTTTTTAATTCAATATTTATTTTATACCCTTTTTTTTGTTTGATACCCCTTTTACCCTCCTCTACACATTACAATTACATGGTAAAATACTTAAAAAAAACATAATTTGAATGCAAATCGGTAAAATCACTAAATTAGATCAAGAACCCTAAGCCTTCCTCAGTTCTTCTTCGACTCGTCATTGTCCTCCCCCATCTCCAGTCCGCACTGCAGTTCTCCTTCTCCAGTTCTCTGAACTCTAATCCATCGATTCTCCAGATTCCAAACAAATTGCAAAGAAGAAACCCAAAACAACGATTCCTTATCTCTTCCGTCCAGATTCGGAATACACTTCTTCTGTTCTTCATCAGATCTTCATCTTGTCACCATTGCCAAGGTCGTTCTCCCTCTCGATCGGTCGATCCTCATACTTCTTTTGTTCTACATCAGATTTTCATCTTCTCACCGAGGTCGTTCTCTCTCTGGATCCTCTTCGACCTAAAAATTTTTCTTCTCCGGTTCTCTTCAGGTACAGAATCACTTTCAGGCTTCAGCTTGCTACCTTGCTCTGCATTTCGTTGCTTTAGTTGATCCTCATACTTCTTTTGTTCTTCATCAGATTTTCATCTTTCTCCCGAAGTCGTTCTCTCTCTGGATCCTCTTCGACGGTTCGACCTGAAATCTTTCTTCTCCGGTTCCCTTCAGGTACAGAACAGTTATTCACTTTCAGCTTGCTGCCTTGCTCTGCATTTCATTGCTTTAGTTTAGTAAATTTCTTATCTTTTTACTGCTTATTTTGGATTGGGTTTTGCTCTGCATTTTGATTTTTGAGTTTATTTACAGAGTATATTTATT